GGGGGGGGGGGGGTTCGCGTGTTATAATTACAAAAAAAATAGCCTACAAATTCGATTTATGATACGCAATGATTTTTCCGTAGTCGCTTCTTCTTCTTTCCATTACCTATAGCATGGACCCGGATCCTACTGTGAGGCATACTTTCTGGACCGTCGTTATTGGTAATTACCTGAATTGGCTGGCCACTTGTTCGGTTAATCAAGCAATGGTGCAAAGGTGTCTGGCAATGCCCAATTTGAAAAAATCCAATATGTAAGTTAATTAACACAATCCTATTGCAATTTAATATTATTTGAACGTTTTAATATTTCCAATAGATATTTAATACACATTAACCACCTTAACCTACGATTATTATTATTTACGCGTTCGAAAATTTTTATATTTTATATTTTATTTACATTATATTTATTATATAATACATATTTTTAACATAAATAATTTTAATAGGGCCCGTCGCTAATATTTATATCTGACCCGATTATCATACTACGGGCTATGCCCGTAAGGGTTAATTTAATCCGTGCATTGTGCGTGCAATATTGAAAAATTCGTGATCTATTTATCACATCTACCCCCTCCCCTATTTATTATTTTTGTTTCTTTCTTAGAACAATCATGATAATGGCTGTTGGTATAGTAACAATTGTTTCTTTATGCTGCTACACCGGAATCGTTATTTTCGCAGCATTCTACAAGTGTGATCCCATATCAACGAAGGTAAGGGTAGAAACATGTTTGGGAAACATAATTTCAAACTTAAACTACGTTTACATTTCCATACTTTAAGCGAGTAATATTACTTGTGTTCTATCTCTAATACTTGTTAGAAAATATAATTACGTTAACGTTAACGTTACTTTACACGCGGGCTACGTATGATGTAATCTCATTTAAAAACATTAAAGATCGTTTGTGTTCGTTGCATAATGGATGGAAAATCGAATTTTTGTAATACTATAATGTTTCGTGTCCCGTTATTCTTGTTTTTATTTATTTTCTATTAACCCTTTGAGTGTTGAATACATTTTTAACTGAAGTGTTTTCTACGAATACAATAATTTATTATTAATGTGACCAGATATGTTAATATTTATAAATTATATTTAATAATTAGAATTTTTCTTTCATCTGACAATATATAACAAAAATATTACATTATTTTACATTCACATTAATAAACAACACGCGTATCAACTTTTACCAAATGCATATATGCGTCCATAGCACCCAAAAGGTTAAATAAGGGACATTAATTTATTATTATTATTATTTTTATTATTATTGAAGCAAAAGAAATAATCCAAATTTCCTAGATTCATCGTTCCGATCAAATTTCTCATTGATCGGTATCAGTATCGTTTCTTTTCCTTTAAACTCGTAATCAGAGGAGTAAAAATCGAAAAAGTATCTCGTATTTCAGCAAATACGGAAACCCGATCAGTTGTTGCCATACTTTGTGATGGAGATAGCACGATCGATACCTGGTTTACCTGGGCTATTCGTTTCTGGAGTTTTCAGTGCTGCTCTCAGGTAAAAAATAATAGATAAAAAAAAAAAAGAAAAAATAAAAGAATATATATATATATTAATACAGAGTATTTTCAATTGAATTATTATTCAAACACATTAAAAATCATGTTTACAAAAAAAAAATAATTATAATAATTAATTAATGAAAATTCTTTTATATATAGCACAATGTCAACCGGTTTGAATTCAATGTCCGGCGTTATTTACGAAGATATAATAAAACCCTGCTTGAGAAAACCAATATCTAACGTTGGTGCTAGTAGAATAATGAAATTAATAGTCATTGTTATTGGTATCATTTGCGTTGGATTGGTTTTCTTAGTTGAAAAACTCACCACATTGATTCAGGTAATTAATTAAAACGATATTAACACAATAACGTTCGAATTGTATCGAATCATTCTACATTGCAATTAAAAAGAAAAGAAAAAAAAGAAAATAAACAAATAATCTTTTTATGTTTACAGGCTGGTAAAAGTTTATCGGGTATAACAGCTGGTCCACTTTTAGGAATTTTCACGTTGGGCATGTTTTTTCCATTTGCCAATTCTACGGTAATTGTCGATTAAATAAATTCTTCATTTATCATATTATATCATTGAACATTTGTTATAATATTTAATTGTTCAAATTGTCAATTAATAATTACGTTATTACCAATCGTTTAATAGTAACATACCTCTTTTGATGAATTTTCATTTTCATTTCAATTCGATCTCTCTCGACTATCGCGCAACATTATATATTAAAAAAAGTTAATCAATTTTATGAATTTTTGATTTAAATAATAATAAGAACGAAGAAAATTTCGTGCAAAGCTATACAATGCTAATGATCATCGAACGAAATGATCTTTGCCAAACACCCCCACCAACCCCATCACCATTATTAACATCGAATTATGCGTGTCTACTATCTCATCTTTATTTCTATCTCTCTCTCTTTTTTTGTTCTTTAAGGCAAATGCATTAAAGCCGCTGCTTCGTCGGAATTTATAGAATCCCTTTTCTCTGCTGAGCTTTCATTCGATTTAAAATGCTAATAGTCCTTGCACCATTTGTCGAAGCTCCCCAACTCGAAACCTGTAGATACAGTTAGAGTCATAGAAATATTCGGACATTTCATTTTAAATTGAATCTCACACTTTTCTTTCTTTTTTTTCCTCTCTTTCTGTCTCTCTCTCTTTTTCTCTCTATTAAATTACGCAAATTCTTCGAAATTTGTACGAGAGCACATACGATCGACAAAAAATTCGATTAAATTTTGTTTCATATTTTTATTATTATCACGATATACCTATCCTTCTCTCCACCCAGAAAAAAAATATATTTTTAAATTCTTAACACACAAGTTATTATACTTCATTTTTATAAATTCATTTTTAATAAAATTATCACAAATATTTTGTCGATTATCATGTTATCGCGTTTATTTTCTCTATTCACACGCGTGTTAATAGAAAATAGTAAATTTAAATAACATTTTCACATAGAAGATGTGTGTATGTATGTGTGTATTTAAAAATATATAGAATATTTATTATATATAATTGAAACTAATTTTACTATATATAACAATCTAATAATTCATTTAATATAACTATTGATTATTCATTTTATTTGAACAGGGTGCATTAATAGGTGGTATAATCAGTTTAAATCTAGTTGCTTGGATATCATTTGGTACCCAAGCTGCCATTTCTAATGGTAAAATAATCTTCACGGAAAAACCAGTTTCCGTGGATGGATGTGTCGACACGTTGAAAATTACAGCAGCAAATATGACGGTTATCGTTGAAAATGCAGTCAGGTCATTAACGATTAATTACATTAGACACGAAAATGCAAGCTAATATATTGTACATGGTGTCCTGTAACTGGTGGTCGTCGTTATTGACTAAACTTGCAACTATGAAAACTAAAATTCTTGTTCGATAAGTAATAAATCCGACAATGTTTTATAAACATGTTCGAACACATTATTCGAACTGAAATTGAATTAAATTCAGCGCGCCTATTCAAAAACACATTTTTTTTAATTTATTTTTCTCGAAAACAAATTCTATTCTCCAACATTTGTTCGATTAATGTTAATTTTTTCATGCAGAATCATCGCATGTATCACAAGTTACAAAACACCCTGTATAATTTTACGTATATGCATATTTAAAAGTTATGTTTATATTTTTATCGTCGTTTTTTGTTTTGTTTTGTAATTAATTCACGAAAAATCGTATACTTGATGAAATTTTACAGAGAGCAACCATTCTTTTTATATCGAATGTCCTATTTATGGTACACGTGGGTGGGATTTCTTACAGCGATTTTAATCGGCGTTATTGTCTCCTGGATTACTGGCCCGAATAAATACAAAATAGGAGATATAAAACTGTACACGCCTATCATACACGGTTTCTTACGTTCTAAAGTTTCTAAGAAAAGGGTATGTAATTATGTATATTCATTTCTTGCTTTATTTCTTTCCTCGTCATCCATTCCTACACATATTTTAATACTTACAAAATTAAACTTATTTTTTTGGAATATATATTTGAAGCTGTACTATCAAACAATCAAATATTATTAAATCGGTTGAGTATTAAATCTTGATATTTTTGTATACGTTTATTTTATTATATTTCAAAAAACAAAAAAAAGAAAACTAAAATTGATACAATTAAATTATTACAGTTTTCTTTTTTCAATTAAATCACCATAAATATTTTTATCAAAATAAATGTAACTTTCAAATTATCTGTCTCAGACATTTGTTGTCGTTGTTGTTGTATTGTGTTATACCACCAATCGATATTATTGTGTATATATATACAAATTTCAATTTTATTTTCATTTCTGTTCTTTTAAATCCTCAGAACAAGATGGAACTTAAAAGGAGAGGAGCAGAAAGGAAAGACGTACATCAGTCATCAGGATGTTAGCGAATATCTTGTATTCTAAATTACATAAGTAAATACCATAAATTCAGACTGTGATTTTCTAGTAATCGCGATGTTTTTCTTTCCATTTTTTTTCCCCCCCTGTTTAATTATCGCTCGCTAAAGACACTATTATAATATATAGTTCTCAATGTGACGCATTTTTCTTATCCGCAAAAATAATTTTACACGTGAATTATTCGAATTTCAAAAAACCATGTGGTCGACGCGTTTTTAAAATGATTATAAAAAATAATTACTTATATTTTTCGATTAAAGAATTTATCTATGAGATTAGGCAATGATTAAATCGTTCATTCGTTTCGAGTAAATAATAAATAGGATGTTTTTTATCCGATCTCCTTCTTTTTTTCTTTTTAAATTAATTAATTATAATTAATTAATTATCTCAATATCATTTTAATACAAAGAAATTGTGGTTCTCATTTTATTTGCATACTATCATGCGTCGAACAGTCAACGTTCATTACGATAATCTTATTGTCGTTTCTTATTTTGTAAATGTGCGTGCCATAAAATTTGCTAGGTGCTTAACTTTTACATTATTCATTCCGTAATATTATTATTATTATTAATAACGATAATAATCATTATAATAATAGTATGAAAATGTTAAGACTACGTTATAGAGGATGCTCATCGTTTCAATGAATTTTTCAGTACAAGTATATATATATATATGTACAATGATTTATGTTATATAACTGCTATCATATACAGATCATATTTGACGAATATAATTCTCACATACTGTACAGTTTTTATTTCAAAATATGCACTTAAGTTTCGATGATTTAACCTTCTCGTATCATTACAAGTTAAAAATACAATTGCTATACAATATATAATTTGCAGGACTTTTAAATCACAAACAATTTCAAATTTCCTGCGAGTACATAATTTTGATATGCTAAATGCACACATATAGATGGGATATACGTAGATTTACTATACGCATTTAATATTATTGCATATGACAATCGAAGAAAATTCTTGTAAAATTATCTTCTATTTTTTTTTTCTTTCTTTTTTCTTATTTTCCTTTCAATAGAAGTATCTATACAAAATAATCGGCTAACGTATAAGAAGAAATAATCTATTTTTGAAAAATAAAAAAAAATAAGACAAATGTTATTCATAAGAGTCAGAAGCACATAAAGAACATCTTCCTCGTATAACAAAAATAATATATCCTGATTAAAAACGAGAAAGCTTTTAATACCACAGAGCTGAGGCTCTTCTTTTGTTTTTTCATTTTTTAGAAAAATAAGAATTATCATATTAGTAATAAAATAGTAAGATCTAAGAAGTAAGTGGTGACATGCCAATAGTCCTAGGATCTTGTTGACCTGGTTGGGTAGGAGGAACTGGTTGAGGACCAGTTTCTAAATTCTTAAGAAGTTGATTTAACCAGTGTTTGGTTGATGCATCTTCTTGTAAACAAGTTGCAAAAGTATTGTCTCTTAGTTGATCCGGTAAACATTGTCTCAGCGCTAGTAAAGCTCTACAAATAAAAAAATATCTTATTATATGTCGTATATTGCTAAAAAATAATCAAATCTTACCTAGGATTATCGGAGAGTCTTAAATAACATCTGACGACGTGTTTTAATAATCTTGCGGAAGGATCTTTGGCCAATGACAAAACCATTTTTCCTAATATCATAGCGACATGGCTAAACCTATCGTATGTTTGACATATATAAGAAAGACCGCTGTCATCCAATAAAATCTTTTGTAGGATGAAAGTGGCAACAGTTTTGCTTAATTCTGAACCACTTTCCATGATTCTCAAACAAAGCGGAATTATTTCAGTGGTCAATAAAAATGTTATAACTTCTTGTTCATCGGTTTTAACCAATGCACCTATCACGCCCAAGCTCGTTAATCTGAGATATTCAAATGGTCTTGTTTTGCTTACGGTATGTAAGAATGGATAGAGAAACAATGGAACGTGTGCCTGTAATTAAAATATTATGATTTATTATTTTGCAATTATATAGAATTTAAAAGATTTAATAAAAGTATGTATTTAAGAAGTGTACTTGAAGAAATGCAGATCTCGTATCCGGATGACTTGCAACACATTGTAACAGTGCAAGTGCATTACATACACGATTACTCTGATATGCAGTTAAAGTTGCTGGATTAATAGCTGGATATATATTAATAATTTCTTGTAAAAGAGATGCTGTTGTACCAAAAGAATGCCATAACATTGGAGCTAAGTCTGGTACAACTTCACGTTTTTTACTTAGTTCCAAAAGGGCATTTTCTCGTGTTTCAGGATTAGATAGTTCAATGATCCACGTGTAAACTTTTTCACGATCCACACTTGATTGCAATGCTGCCGGACTTTGTTGAGAACTCATTTCAATATTCTCTTTGTATAGATATGTTTATATATATATATATATATAAATATATCTTTTTCTTTATATGATTGACTTAAATTTAAATTATTTTCAAATCGAGCGATATAAAATGTAATTTTTTATTCAATTCAATAAAATATTTTTCATTTAAATAATAAATCATGTGATCGCGACACGCTACATGCTTTTTTTTAACGTTAATTTGAAATATGTATAATGTTGTATTTCCTTTTTTTTGTTCTTTTTTTCTTTTCTTTTTCCTTTAACGTCGAAAAATACAAAGTAAATTAATATCACTTAATAATTAATTATCACATTCAATCACGTTACAAATCATTACACTTTTTTCATTTATATATCACGCTATTTTTTCGGTTAATCCAGATAATCTTGTAATTTTCTTTGACTCGATTATTATTACTTTTATAGGTTAAGAACGATTAATTTTATAAGAATATATTTGAACAATATTTATAATATCGAACCACGTGAAATATTTAACTTGTTCGTTTAACTTTTAAAAAAAGAGAGTATATAATTTTTTACACGATATATATATAAAAGTATACATAGAATAAATATCCTTTAAAGTTATTCACCGATTTTCGTTCAAAGCGTGTGTTATTTCAGCGCCACGTATAGACATAATATGAATTACAAAACGGTATTATAGTAATACGAAATTACCAAAACGTGGCTAAAAGTAGAACAAAAAAGTTGTTTTCTTTTTTCCTGAAATTGTTAACCTTAGAAATATGTTTAATGGAGCCGGTAATGGCTCTTTCAATTGTGTTTTATGCAGGTATTATAAAACTTGCTTTTTTATTAATTTAATTTTTTAATGCTATATTTTATATACCATCAGCACTAGACACTTTATTTACTATTCTTTAAATATATATATATTTTTTTTTTATTATATTAGAATGCAATGGCTTTATTACCAAGATTTTTTTTCAATTTTTCTATGCTTACCTTCAAAGATGCAATTAAATAAAATTATGTGCAATTGAAAATTTAAGAGTGATTAATCTTGTACGCTAATATATGTTACTATGAGTAAAATATATTATCTATATATGCGCTATTATATATAATAAAACAACACAACATAGAGAAACGCATTATTGCATTGCATAAAAGTATACATGATTGCACTATGTGTAATTATAAATTCTATATTATATGATGCAACTATAAATTGTTATATATATAATCTAATTTATTATTTTTATCTATTAACACTATTTTCACATTCAATGTAAATTAATATTTAATTACTCATAATTACATATTTTTGCGATGAATACAAAAAATAGTTTATTTTGCTTATGTATTCCATATTTTCAATTGATACTTCATTATATCTCTGCATTTTACAATAGATAAAAATATAATAAACCACATACAATGTTTGGTTTTTATAAGAAAAGTATTAATACTTTTAATACTTCTAATACGTATACAAGAAATAAAAGATTATTTAATTGAACAATTACACAATGAATCAGATTTTTTCACAATTATCTATAAAGGAACTACAGAAGCAAGAAATATACATCATGAATTTTGATTTATTAAAGACAATTATAATAGAATCTAAGACCGCTCGGAGTTTTAACAAATTTTAATATCCAGCACAACACGCTCATTTATCAAATACTGAATATTTTCGTTTTTTTTTTCACAACTATAGTACAATATATTTGTATATAAATGGTTAAGAAATTAATAGGTAAATATATTCTATTGTAGAAATACATGTTTTTCTCAAATACGAAGAAGTTACATTAATATATTGGTTTATTCGTGTATGTATGCACATACTGCACATTTATATATATATATATATATATATGTATATCTTGTGGAGATATGACTTACAAAATAATAATCAACATCAAATTGTTTTTCTTTTTTGTTTCTTTTCTTAAATAGTCCTAGAAAATAATTTAACCAGAATGATTGTTAATGTTGTTACAAAATATATTTATTGTATAAACCTACACTCCTTACATCTATGTAAAAAGTATGTAAAATATTACACACTGATCTATATATTTAAAAAACAAAAACCATAATAAAAAATAATAATAAAAAATAATAATAAAAAATATATTATGCTTTATGAAGTTATATAAGAAGTGTAGAGATCATAAAAATAATGTTATTTAGAAACAATATTAGCTATAGAAATAGTCTGACGAATAAGTTAACAATATAAAAATTTCCTTTTTTTATTGCAATGCACTTTCTTTATATATTATGCATAGCTCCACAGTACAGATAATAAAATGTCCATTATTTCCGGGGAAACAAAAAGAAAGTTTTTACAAATGTATGAAAATATTGCCCTTATCTTCTTCAATAAATATACCAAACGACATGTATTAAATAATAATGAATTTTTGTTTTGTTTGAAATTTGCAATGCATTAGCACAATCGTTCTAGATTTTGAAACTAATTGAATATAATATTTAGTATACACACAAAAATGTATTTATCTCATTTAGATACATTAATGTGTGCGTTGTGTGTTTGTTTATATACATGATTACTAGTAAATTTGTTTGAATTGATAATTAACTTAATATAACATATTTCATACTAATACTAAATCAAGCATTATTTATCTTTTTTACTTAATTCATCCTTAGAACGATCTTTGACAGAACGTTGCTTTTTATCTTGAACTAATTGATCTTGCATTTCACCCGAAAAACCAAATTCGTTAACTCTCGTATGATCAGTCTTATATATCCATCTCTGGTATAAAAATATGAAGAAAACTATATCATCCCGGAAGCAGCCAATTCTATAAAGTGTTGGCATTTTAATAACAAATGCAAATATATCATCAATAAAAGTATTAAGGAATTTATACGACATCATGCGCCAAGGAAGATGAGCTACACTTTTAAGTTTATAATTAATAAATAATTGTGGTGTCATCATGATAAATCCAAATGTTAGTAAAAATCCGTATAGCATATTCAATATCCACGAATACCATCCCTTATGTTCTAAATACATTAAAGAATAAATTGCATAACCTCCTAAAAGCGGATAAAGAGCCCATGATAGATATTTAAATGCGAGTCTATCATACTCTTTAGTGGAAGATTCCACGTATGAACCTTTATCGTGAAAGGATATTTTTGGAAAGACTTTAAACATTTTTGACTGTCTATCAACATTAATATCAACGACTTTGTTAATTTTCCATACTTCGATGCACAAACCTATAGCACAGCTAATTCGTACTACTGTATTAGTTTCGTTATCTAATACATAAAGTAGGATAACAAGTGATTGAAAAACATTGAAAAAGACAGATCGTACTGATAAACCTTCCAAAGATTTACGATTATTCCAAAATTGAATATCTAAAAACAGATAAGTCGATGTTAATAAATCATAATTAAATATAATATGTTAATAGAGATTGATATTAACTTACCACTTTTAAATGCTAAAAATTCAAATACACTATGTAAAATTGATACAATTATAGTTAATCCCAGTAAATAAATATTCGTTTCTAATAGAGTTTCCTTCAAAGTGTCTTGATCAGTATCATCTTCGTCAGACATGTCTCCTAAAAACAAAATCAAAAATAGTTCTATCAGTATTTATTAGATTTAATTAACTACATTTAAAAATGATACTTTTATTATTGCATACCCATAAACGATGTCCATTTGTTTCTCATAGATTGTGCTACATAGATTTGCCATTTGAATAATGAAAGAGGTTGATATATCAATCTGAGCTCTAATTCTTTAACAGTATTGTTTAATGGTTGATAGTCACGTTGCATATTCCAAAAATCATTCATGAATATAACTGGTCTATAATATGATTCTCCGGGAAGGAAACTTATATCTATATAATAATATTATTAATAAATTAATTTCATATTGATATTTAAAGTACTCGATATATTTTCTCAAAAACAAAGACTTATATGAACAAATTTTATTCTATATTTTTAACTTAATTTTTCATGTAGAATCATCTGAATTGTTAACACGTTACTATTTTAAATTAATTAAATGAAATATTACTCACGTTCATCCAAAGGTTGTGGTACTTGTCCAGCCATCCAATTTGTTTGGTCAGTTACTAAATTAATAGTTAAATTTGGATGCCAATGGGAGATGTATTCTTGATTCATTATCTCGGCTTTCTATCAAGATCAATATTCAAAAGTTAAACATATAATTTGTTCTCAACGCGTTAGTGTAATATTACTTATTATAATTAAATAATAAAATTCTGACTATTTACTTGTAGTTGTTCTTGAGTAGCTGTCGTTTCACCGGTTAATAAATTATGTTTCTTTTGATATCGAATTTTTTTAAATTTAACTAACATTTTTTTAGCATATGACATTTGTTCACCGGCAAATGCATTTTTTCCAGCCTTAGGATTAGGAGATTTACCAGTTTTAGTGACATATACATGCAGATAAATGGTACCATTATTTAATAGTTTATGTGACGGAGTAAAATGTATATTGAGAATTCTAGAACCATCATTATCTGTGCCACTAAACCAATCTCCATAAATCAATCCTTGTTCAAACCATATTAAAGCATTTGGGTCATCAAATTTTTTAAAATCTTCATCTTCTGACATATAAACGTGTAGATCAAATAATGTCCAGTTCTTAAATATATTTATTGCATGTAATTTTGGAACATTATTGCCACTGTTAGATATCTGAGTATTATCCGTTTGGGGACGCCTAAATAGAGAACTGATGAAATAAATAATCAGTGCTCTAATTATTAAAGATTTTGTTATTGCAAAGAAGGATTCTAAATGGGTAGGTTGATATTTCTTTCTTTGCTCATCTACTTCTGCATTAACCTGTGAAAAATATTTAAATTCAAAATTATTACGTTGCTTTTATCTTTATATATTATGTATATGCGCATGCATGTACGTGTGTGCATATAAAATGAAAGAAAAAAAATAAGATTTCATAACTATTGCATTAACATAATAAAATAAATGAATTATAATTTCATATTAATGAAATAATATTTCTTTCGATGTAATTTCGAATTAATATTACATTTTTTATAAAAAAAAAAAAAAAAAAAGAAGAAAATATATTAACGGGAAAAAAAGAAATTAAAAATGTTTGTCATTCTAAATAAAATTGTTGATAAGTGTCCATTGTCAATGGCGTCATCAAAATACAATGATTTAGAATACAAACTGTCAACTTACATCTCTCTCTTCGTTATTCAATTCGGTTGCAACTAAGTCACCATTTTGCTGATTATTATCCATTTTTTCTGTTACATCTACTTCTGCTTGATCAAACTCGTCATCGATACCACCCACCATCGCAGACCAGCTTTTAATAAAGATTAGAATCTACTTTCTGTGTAAATCTATGATGCCTATACTACTGCTATCTGGTATTAGTTTTTCATACTATGAATATATATAAAAGTATATGTACATGCATGTATATATATATGTATTTGTATAAAATATGCTGAGTCAAAAATGTCGTCACTTGTCAAGATAAGTATTATTATTTTAATGCAACACATTAATTTTTTACTATATATACATATATGTAATATATATATATATGTATAAATGGAAGCGTAACAAATTACTAAATAATGCTTTAGTTCATGTTAGCAAACCATTCACCATGAAATTATTTATTTATCACTAATATTTCATTCAAATTATTTGCCTCTATTTAACAATCTAATGTTGTTAGACCTGAATTATGCAGAATACTGTTACTAACAAAACTTTATACTAATGCAAAACCAATACTTCATTACTTTCTCACAAATGTTTTTTTACATTGAAAATATATTTTATAATTATATTGTTATAAATATATATTAAAAATATATTGCACATTTTTATTGTTAACTTATATATATATTTTGTTGATTATTTAATGGCGTTATTATGCAATGTTTGTGTTTAAGTATAATTTTGTATTTTTAATTCATATTTTTAGTACCAACTATTTCATTGTTTAAATGTTGGCATCTTTTAATATTTAGTATTTTATTCTATTCATATTATAATGGTACTACATACTCCATGCTTAAATAATTAATTTCATTCCTTTGTCTTATAATTTATAATCTTTTCTAAAACTAACCTCTAAAATCAAATTTCCGTATATTAAGATTATATAATTTACATTCTATTATTTACAATATAAAGGCAATTCTAAATATTAGTAGTGTAATATGAGAGAATCAGGGTTTTACAATATTTAAAAATGTAAGATAAAAAAGATTATATTATACATGACAAAGAGTAACTTCTATAACATTTTTTGAAAGTTAAAAAAGGAATTGAGGAAGAAATTTAATAATTAACGCACTGTACAGTCATACATTTTTCTTGTAAAGATATAATACTTAAGTTTATACACAATTTACATCATAGGGTTATATATTTTTATTTTAAACAAATACTTAACGTTAATTCTAAATTTATTCCGTCCATCTATGTGAACAAAGTTGATTCGTACATACATAATACAATCTCATTTCTTCCTCAGCTCTTCTAGTTTGAGCTTGAAAAAATACAGCTTCCCTGTGATTACATTTAGGACATGGATGGTCTTCGGTTCTTGGTAAAGTAGGATCAGATATAACATCAGCAACGATATGCGTCAATTCACTATAAAATTATAAACAAAGAACATAATATTTTACAAAATCTTGCAATAAAATCAATTATAAAAAATAAACTTTTAGAAATAGAAATTAATACTTACTCAATTTCGTGCATAATTTTGTTTACATATATACAGTTACTGTCAGCTAATTGTTTGAAATCACAATTTCTGCACTGAAAATATCATTTTTATTTAGTGATATTCTGAATGAATCATTTAATAATAAAATATTATTGAATTTAAAGAAAAGAAAATTATACTAACCGCATACATAAGTACTTTATTTTCTTTATCTTCTTTTGGATATAACATATTATTACATTCTTGACAAAATCTGATTCCTACAAACCCAGGACCATCATCATGTGTATCATAACCTGTCACTTTTGACATTATTATTAATATTTTATTAAACAGTTAGAATAATAATGATAAATTTTAATAAATTTCTTTTTGTATAACACTTTACGTGAAACACCAAGTTTATTTTGCGTTTTTAATAATATTGTACATATATTTTTGTTCATAAAATTTCGTTGCAAGATTTAAACAATTTGACTACTAGATGGTACGATCACTTCTGTATTTATTTAGTAAGTTTATGTCTGCTTGAGTTTTGTACAGTCTGCTTTTTCATAAATAATTTTGATGCAGTTTTTACAAATTTATCATTTTTATAACCAATCACAAATAAGCATTTTTAAGTAAGAAAATTAGTTTATTGTAGTTGATGCACAAATGTCCAATTAGAAATGACGTTCATTCTGATTGGTTCAAATATTTTTTCATTCTCACGCTCAATAATAAAATAATATTTCCAAGATAATTATAAGAATTAGTAATTTTACTGTTTGTTATAACTTACAAAAAATATATCACAATTTTTTAATAATAACTCAAGTATAATAAAGCGTTATTTGGTTATATTACGTATATAAAATGTAATATTTTTCATAATTGTTTGACAAGGATTGCTATTGGTAAATTTCAAATTGGTATAATCATGTAAGAAATATTGTTTATATTGCCTCTATAATATTATATTATAACATAACTTATTTTTAACGAAAGGTTAGAAATAGTATATTATCTTTAACTATGCAAAATTGGTAAGAAAGATGTAATATATTCTTAGTTACAAGTACTCCTTCATAAAATTCTTAAAATTATTTTGATTATTGTTCTGCGCAATGACGGCTGCGCATTGCACGTATATAAAATTGCATATCAAATTTAATCGCATTACTTGACTTATCGACCAAATTGAACATATATAAATTGTATCGCAGTATAGCGATCATGTTAAATACGAATAATAAAAGAAAATTAAATTTATTGAGATATTATAGCTCATCGAAATTTTAGTAACTATGCGATGGAGGGATTAGTTGGTAATAATGCTGGAAGGTGCGCTAGTGTTCCACTAAGCTACCCCCAGTCTTACTACCCCCACCCTTCCGTTTCAGCTCCCCTAGCTAGTGCAAATCTCGACGGATGAATGTTTTCTTAAGGGATTCTTCCCGAAACCGACGCGAAATTATAAGAGGAGTCATCTGAGGCTTAGAATTGTGAGTGAAATATATTTTATTAAAATAAATCGTTTATCATGCCGATTAGATATTATTCGATTCATACCACTTTGGTTTCATAAACTAAGAAGAAACGTGATACTTGTGTTCAAGGCGTTCCTGGGGGGTGATGGTACTCACGCCGACAGCGTCTCCCACAAAGATTTCACCATTTTTCAATTAACAAAAAAATTGTCTGCGTCGCACACACGTCACAAATTCTTCGGTTAACCTGTCGGCTGGTACGCTTTGAACACGTGATTACGATAAATGCCGCGCAAGTAGAGCTTTCATTTCAAAGTTATTTTTATGGGAATTATCGTTTATATATAAGGACTGATTTGTTGTTTTGTTGCATGCTCTAACTAACGTTCCTTATAGATTTTTCTTACTACTCTTTTCCGGTCCGGTTCACTTTCATTGGTTTATAAATCGCGTTAAGGTGATTATAAATTCCAATTTGAATAAAGATTAGTTGCACATTTTATATAACTTAAGAATAGTCTGTATATAAGTGTAGTTTGATATATATTGTTGTTACCACAGTTTCTCATATATTCGACAGCCATATTGTACATTTTTTTAACGATGCTGCCGCGTTTCTCGTTAACCTATTCTTGTTTATGAGTAGTCACTTTCTCTCCTCTTAAAATTATCTCCCTATTATCTTTTTATAAATAATATATCTTAAGATATATGTTATAGGAAATGCTAATTTATCCTTATTTTATAGTTTAATCAATTATGTTAATTTGTATCTTTTATTTTAATCATTTTTTTTTGTATTCAATTTAATTTAATCAAAGGTATATATATTTTTTTGGTATATAATATTTTATATTCAAAGGTTTATAATATAACTTTTCTTATATATATTTTTATTTAAAGGAAGGTTCCTTTGTTAAGTCTTTGAAATAGATTCATTAACAATAAAATGTATTAACTTAAGTTACAATCATTTTTTAGTTTACTATTATGTATGATTTACATACATTTTACATACATTTTATCATCGGTTATGAATTACATAAATGATATTGTCATTGATAAGTCTATATATTTAGAATATACTACTAATTAATCATTGCGACTTATAACAAAAGCGTGTCCTTTATTAATAATTGCACTTACATATTATTTTATATAGTTTCTGTTTTAATTGATTTATGATTGGCTTTAACAGGCTTCCTTCAAGTTATTTTACCACAATCATGGAAAGCGGAAGTAATTTGCCTAGTCCAGGCAATTACCCTGGTGGTAATCGACAACAATTTTGTGTATCATGGAATTCTCATCAATCGAACATGCACAGTGCTTTTCCAAAGTTATTGAGCTCGGAACAATTCGTCGATGTTACTTTAGCTTGTGATGGTGGTTCTATAAAATGTCATAAAGTGGTATTATCCGCCTGTAGCGATTACTTAGAACGCTTGTTGCTAGAAATTCCGTGTACTCATCCTATTGTTTTTCTGAGAGATATGAGAATGTGGGAACTTCAAGCACTGGTCGAATTTATGTACCGTGGTGAAGTATACGTTGAACAACAACAACTTGCTAAATTGATGCAAGCGGCAGAAGTCCTACAGGTATGGGATAAATAATGCTATGATAAATATCAAAATACTTTGATGATAATCCTTTTATGATAAGGATCAACCAATTTTGAACAAATTGTATTACTAGGTTCGTGGCTTATCCACTCAGGGAAGTGATAGCTCTTCAATCGAGAGTAACTCACAACAAGATTCTAATCCACCAATTACTCCATCAACGCCAACTCAACATGATGTACCTCAATACAAATCAGACGATATTCCATCTAACGACGAAGGAAGCTCAAGCTTTTTGGAGCCTACCTCAGTTCCTGGATCTAGTACAGGAAACGTTACATCTCAAAATAATACTCCAACTTCGCAAAATCCAAATTCATCTAATTTTATGGAACACAGTGAAGCATTACAGCATTTGGAAAAAGCCCTTAGCGCTTGCGAAGCTACTCTTACGGAAACTCAGGGGATGGTTAAAATGGAACCAGACGAACAATTTTCTCAACAACAGGATGTCAAACCTTATTCCATCACTATGGTACGAAATAGTAACTGCAGCAATCCCAGCAGTCCGTATCCTGTTACAGAAGGTAAAAAAAAGTATCGATTAGAAAATTTCCTAAAAAATTTATTAGATATATATAGTATTTATTTTATTCTATATATCAATAATATATTATCCATTGACAGGCTATCAAAGACGACAAAGGCGTTCTGAAGAAGAACTCAGACAAGCTTCGGACATGGTTGCACGTGGCATGACATTTCAAGTTGCATCTGAAAAATATAATATACCAATCAGTACGATTCGTTTCTATATGGTTAGGAAGGGAATTTTACAAAGGCGAAAGCGTGGCCGTGGTTCAAGCAATCTTGGAGTAAACAGTCAACCTGAAAGCCCTGCAAGCCCACCATATCATATGATAAACTACCGTTTACCAGACAGCCTAAATTCCAGCCTACCGTAGTGCTATACCAAAAGTAGTGAGTTTTTAGATTTCAGTTGAATCGAACAAATTATTTGTCGCTAAAGTTAGAGCTGTTCTGGACCGTCATCCTTTCCTTTTAAACTCTTTATGAGTTTTCTCTTTATCCGTATATTATTTTACAATATCTAAGATGTTAAGTATAAACGCGGTATGCAGGCGTTAATAAGAGTATCTACTACTGCATAAAACTCGTGCATTTATTTTAAATTTTCATATATAAATTTTTTAAACGCATGCACTGTATATATGTATGTATATACATATATATGTATGTGTAAATGTATATATATATATGTATATATTTATGTATATATAGAAATATAATACGTATGTGTATAATATTTATAAATAGGGTTTTGAACAGCTCTTTTCCATGTATATAAATTCCATATGTGAACGTTCGGACACAGCATTAAGCTAAGCAAGTATTTTCTCCATAAGATATAAAGTTCTTCAATAGTAATGCACGAGATGAACTCAGTGTTTTCCAAAAGACTGATCGCATCCGGTTCTTTTCAGTACAAAGCATCATAAAAACATAGTTTTTCTTGCGCAATTTTAGGATCATAATTTAGGTGACATCTCACATTAAATGTTTGTCACACATTTGTTAAGTAAAGGAACATTTAACATTTATATATTTTTAAACGAGCATATTTGCACACTATAAGGATGCAGTTATCAGAGATCGAATGTTTTGGATCATAATTAAATATTAATAATAATATTAATTGCTAATAAATTTATTCACTTATATCTTATATAGTTATATAGAATATAAATATTGTTTTGCCCTCGCGCCATTTCCTTTATTTCATATATGGTACCTATTGAATGCAATTAACATATGTTCGCAAATATATATATATATATATATATATATATATATATATACAAACACATACACGCGAGCGCGTGCGCACACATACGATATGGTAAAATATAGTTTGATAACCATTATCCTCTTGTGCTGTGGTCGAACATAATTCATATGGTTCCTTTCGGGCCGTGTTCCGTTCTTCTACTTAGTGACCAATATGGCCTGCAAATGTGGATAGAGTAAAAAATTTCATTTCAAGTGCTACTTATTCATCATTTTAACAGGCATTATTATGATAAAACCTTTACTAAAGTTCGGATATATAATATCAAGTGAATAATATTTTTTTAATGACTTCAAGACGTTTTTGATACAATAAGTTTGTAGTATAAGTTATTTTTTATTACATTATATTTATATAATTCAGCAATATGCATATTATTATCTTAAGTCATTATGGCATCTGTACGCCGCTTATACATATGTAAACATACAAATATATACGTATATATTTAAATATATATATATATATATATAGGTATGTATATATATGTATAGTATATACAGAAACACATCATGTATATGTATATATGTCGAATTTTGTCTCATTGTGTATGATTATGTTTGAATAATTTATAGTAACGGTAATGATAATAATAATTATAATTATAATAATAAAAATAAGAATATTAATGATATCGATAATGATAGTAATAACAAAGAAGCTTCTTCACTTTTGTTGGGCACAATAATAACTCTTATGATCTGGTAACAAGCGATGTACATAGATCATAAAGTTTTATCCATAAGTCACTATGTTCAAGACTGGTAACACGTGGCGCATATAATAATCATCTGAAATCGTAGACATTGCAGCTCTTATAATCTATTATACAAATATTTTTGTAGACATCTTTATCAAGGAAAGTTTCTTCTTTCTGCCTGTATTTTACATACCTTGATCATCTATAACAATAAGAGAACCGGTATTTGTTCAAAGTTTACCATTTAACTTTGTTAAACATCACAGGACATGAGAGATCATGACATAAGTAGTATAATGCTTTTTACATGCTAGTGTACAAATAACAATGTTTGTAATCGTCGATAAGAAACCACCAGTTTTCATAAAAGTGATGTCGCATAATAATCATCACTTTTTTAAATACTGGTTTTGCCTTGTCAAAAAGAAATTTTCATTGTATAACAACAGCTATGGCGCATATATGACGCAATCGTACAGTGTATTGCCTTTGTTAAATAGCATTTTGGATAAAGCCATATTTTTCCATGCGATGCAATAATTCAGCAAAGTTAAATAACAATAAATGAAAAACAGCCTAAAATAGGAAAGAGTGCCAGATACATAAATGGACATAAACAATAAGAGATGCCATGCTTAAAATTTATCAGCACTTACGACATAGTTGCCTGCTTTTCTCCTGCTTTTATATAGAGAATCGTTTACCTTTTTTGTATCAGGCAACATGGAGAATGTATACAAATACATAAGTAGCCTAACCGAGATAAAAATCATTGATAAATGCCTTAATTAATATACACAATGTCGTTTTGTTAAGTAATTATCATATAATCAAAGTATTAGAAATATTGTAGCCGATTCTGATTTATTTCACTTTTATCGACCGATTTAGCATATAGTGTAAGATACAGTATAGATTATATTTACTAAATTTGATCCAACGTTACACAGTTAGATTCTGCGCTGATGTGTGAAGTGTGTTACAAAGGAAAAGAAAAGATTAAAAAAAAAAAAGATAAGAAAAGAAATGCATTAAAAAAAAAAAAGATTGGAGTACAGTGACATTGATACAGATTGAAAACAGAATTTGCAAATATTGCCTGTTATAGCGTCCAAACGGTTGAAGTTAATAACTTCTTCGTATGTAGCATTCTTTCCAATACCTGTATCGTGTAAATCATTATTCTAAGAGTTCCAGTTGACAAAGGTTTTATACAAATCTATTAAACCAGTATTGCAAACCAATGAAGAATAATTAGTTTTCTAATAACACAGTACGTTTTATGTGAATTTAGTACAGTGCTTAAGTCAGTAATGCTCAGCGTATCTAACAAATATTTTTAGTGAAAATCCGTGTCATACTCACATGTATTATAACGTCTTAAAGTGTGTAACTAAACAACAATCAAAGAAAGCGTGAACGATACTTAATAATTATTATCATAGCCACTTTTAAGAGTAAATAGGTAGCCATTTTGAGGCAAATTATATTATATTTAGTTATCGCATCATATTTGGTCTACATTTTATAGTGGTATTATTATTTGTAGGATAGATTTTTACACCTAGAAATCAATCAATTTACCTCTTTACTCCATGAAATATATATTTTTAAGATTTTTCTTCTTTTTCTTTTATTATTTTTTCTTGTTTTTTTTTTTTTCTAATTTTTTTTTTTTTAATAGTTACCGAGACAAATATCTATATTGGCATGATAGGCAGAACGAATCGAGAATTATTATGGTTTTCCAAGACAATGCTACTAATGTAAAGTTTTCCAAGAAAGCTACTATAAAATTTTACGACAATTATTGTTACGACAATTGTTATATAGTCGCACGATAATAATAAGCACAACGTACGTACCCCCTATTTTATTTATAAACACGAATGATTTAGGATTATTATTATTATTATTATTACGAAAAGGGAAAAGGAAAAAAGAAAACGAAAAAAATAATCACACATATGGTTTATAATACGAAAATTGAAAATTTCTAAAATGGGATAGAAACACAAAACATTTGTGTTAGAAAGATATGCGACAATGTATAATATTCTATTATACTTTAGTTTATAAATTTGTTATTGTAGACGACAAAAAGAAAAAAATTTTCGATTAAGAAAAAAGAAATGTAGTAAAAATAAGTTGCACAAAACCACGATGCGGTTATTGCGCTTTCGGATAAACATCAATGAGTCTTCACATGCCATTTGGCATTCTCAAAATCGGATTTATTATAAATCCGATGTTTTATAAAGGAATCATTATAGAAAATTTAATTTTTCGAATATATACATATATCTCTCTGATTAAATTAACGAATCTATTATGATTAGTTTGTGTGAAGAAAAAAAAATATCATTTTTTATCTTATATTTTATGTTGTAATCAAATTGTCATATACCTCGATCATGGGTTTATCCGAGTGAACTTTTTTTCTAAAAATTGTAACTGAAAAAAATCTTACTTTTTTTTCTCATTTTTTTTCTATTAGCTCATATATATATATATATATATATATCAATGAAAGATAAACGTGCGATTAATGCATCACATTTAACAAAAATGAACGACGCTATGAATTTACAAAAA